GAACCAAGGGGCCATAATTGAACAAAAATGTTGCACCACCCATCTCGAATCCATGAGACCAAGCATGAGATTATCCTGCATGCGCCACTTAATCAGAACACACAACCGTTACCGGCCACAGGTGGGAATCATTGTCAAAGGCAGTGTTGCATTTAAAAAGCAATTTCTAAACCCCCCCAAAGACATCTCCCCGAAGAGCAAACTGTGGGCTTTTTTCTGTTTGGGAGACATGTTGTTGCAATCAAATAGTTATGGTGGAAGTAAAGCTTGACTAATAGTATAAAGAGAGAAGGAAACAACCTGGAAGACAATGTGAAAAAGCCCCGATGTCTCACTGAATGCTGTGTGTAGGGGAAGAAACCACAGGAATGTGCGTCTGCGCCGCTCTCATCACCCTCACCTCTGGATTAAACCAGATCTTTTACACTCTTCTTAATCAGGGAATTTATGTGATAATGAAGCCCGATGTAGAGGCAGGGTGTTTTGGGGCAATTTCTAAAAAGCCACGTTAATTTGGAGAGCCTACATTTTCCATATACACTGAATATTTTTGACACAAGATTTTAAATTATATTTTTAAACCAAAAAAAGTTGAATTAAAGTTTAAAATTCTTAAATGTGGAAAATATAATGAGAAATAAACTTTCCTTATTTATATCACATTTTTGTGTATTACGTAAAGGTTGGGTGTACAGCGCAGTTGGGTCCACGTTTATTCTTTATAGACGTGCACTAATTGGAAATGGGGACCTAAAATCAAATAAATAAGCATTTATGCTCCTTCCTGCTTGTTCTCATACAAGCTGGGAATAGGTTTTAGGCGATAAACCCAAAAGTTTTCTAAATTTAAGCCTTTTAATGAGTTTTTATAAAGCTCTGACGGATGGTTAATTTTACGCACAAGAGCCTCCAATTAAGAGATCAAATTAAAAGCACTTCAGCATTTAAACTTTAAGCATTGCGTCGATTTACTTACTCATCTTTACCGTTTAATTCTTGTAAAATTAAATATTTAACATTTGTTCTGTCATCTTTATGATACTTACTGTAGGAAACTGCGTTTGCCGCCCGTCCGCCGTTTTTTGCCCTGTTATTCATAGCGTTGCTGTTGTTGTTGTTGTTGTTATTGTTGCTGTTGGACGGCTGTAGTATTGCCTCCAGCGGCGTCCGCGTATTTTCTCTACGTTCTGGTAAAATCTCCGTGCCATCATTTTTTAAAACCTTCCATCCCTTCACAGCGGTGCAGCATCCCTGGAGCAGCAGGAAAGCCGAACTGGAGACGAGGAGGGCCACAGACACCTGCATGCTTGTCGGTCGGCAGGAATAAATCACACAAGGAGATTTAAAAAAAAATAAAAAATAAAAAATATTAATTAAAAATTTAAAAACACACACACACATACACACACATACACAAGAGATGTCCTTCTGAACAGGCTGGTCACTTGCACTCTCAACGCAAGAGGCGAATGCGGTATTTAAGCCCTGCGCAAGTTTTCGTCAGGGCTGACAATTAGGCGCTTACACAAAGTGGGAGGGATTGAACCTGGCCGAGAGATTCATTGAGAAAGGAGGAGGGGAGAGGTTTGGATGAATGCGCAGAGAGAGGAGAGAGCAGGAGAGGAGGAACAGAGAGA